AATTAACTGTAGAAAAGCAAATGAATGAAAGAATTTTCTGGTCTAAAATCACAAAAAGTAATCTTTTTTTATAACAACTTGAATGAAAAGCCTACATTCAAAATTATGAGATTTCGGGAAAGGGATGTATTTTGGACATAAAAGCTAATGTACTTTGTAGACCTTAAACATGAAAGTAAACCATTTTATACAACTATAAAATCCTGCCAAACATGAAAGTTGGCAGAGATATTGCCAAACTTGCACTAGTGATTCCAATAGAAGCTTAATATAACAGAATCTTCTTTACATACGCAGATAAAAATCACAGATATAGCATGCAAAATCTTAGATGACTTCTCACAAGTTTCCACATTGCATCACTACTGTGTATCCATTTTCACATTCAAGCACAAGTCACACTTTGCGCTTTTTCTGACGCCGGGATCCTATAATTTAGAAAATAACCTGTATATTACTGTACCATGAATTTCATCAGACCCAAAATATCGGTCATATTTTCAAAATGTAATGAAAAACAGATCTTGCATATTTCTTTACAAAAATTAAACTGGCTTATTAAGTGATCATGCTTATCCCTTTTATGCTGAATCACATTGTTTGACAACAATGTATACGGGTTATAATAATAAAATGAGATCTATACAGGATTTTTTTTTTTTTTTTTTTAAATTCTAAAATATTGCAGTTACTTGGGGTTTCCAGTTAGCTGAATGCCAGAGTCAGGCTTTTCTATATTTACATAATTTCCAGTTATTAATAAATGAAATTATCCATATTATTAATAAATAGAAAACTTCAGAATTTAACTATCAGTGTCTTATATTCTACTGCCATACTTAATACAACATTTTAAGCCACTTGTACTGTGTTAAACATTTCTAAACACTGAACACAAAACAACAAACCTCATGCATTTTACATTAGCAGAATAAAACAGTTTGTTCTGCAGGACTCTTACATGACTTAGGTGCATTTGAAAGAATTTGAAATAAAACATCCATTTGAGCACATCAAATATGTCATAGTGCAGCATTTCACCAGTGGCACATTCCTTCCATATCACATTTGATACACTGGGAGCGAAAGCTGACAATCACTTAACCAATCTGCTTACTATCACTGAATGTTAATTAATTCAAGTCTGAATGGAATCAATCCATTAATGGAGAATATGTCAAAAAGTTCAATGACTAATCCTCATGATTAAATATTTAGTAATTTCGGTATATTTTTCTGAAAACTACTCAAGTCTCTTCATACTAGACAACAGCAGTGAAATATTTAAGTTAGCAAGAATTGTTACACAAAATTTTCCCTTCCAACCCGAAGTTTTACTACACAGTGTTGCTTACAATCTGAAAAATTAAAATCTTGGAAAGGATTATAACAAACATCTAAAATTAAATATTTATATAGCTTTAAAACAGTTAAACAATTATTAACATGAATTTTGCAAGTAAATAAATTTATAAATATTCACATTTTTTAGTTAATGTGATTATTTATAAATTAAGAAATTTTTTACAGTATAATACTGAGAATTTCCTTCTCAATTTTTATCTGTAAATCGATGATACACCCCTCTGATCAACTGTCATTTGAGACACCTGATGCATACATATTACTGTTTCATATACAGCAATCATACTGCAATTTAGATACACCAATGCCATTAACAAAAATTGAATAACAGAAAATTGTAAGATTTTTGCCTTGAGAGTCTTCTAGATCCCTTTCTTATTTATATTCGAAGGAATGGCTTTCTTTTTGCACTCATCTTGTTCAGGCTAAAAATATTATTCCTTATAAATCTATCATTAAATAAATCAAGTGTTAACTGTATACTTACAATACACAAATAACAATAAAGCTTGATAAAAATGGCGGACCACATAAAAGCAGCGAAAAATTCCAGGCACAAAATTCAGAAAATGTTTACTTCACATGATTGTAGTAAATATCCATTGCAATGCAGAATGTATTTAATCATGAAGATTTTAATAAATAACCACATCCATTTGTCATCAAGAGCACAAAGTTTTTGTCTGTGTAGGATAATCCATTAGTTGAACGATCAAAATTTGCATTTCAGAACATATGGAATTCTTATGTAACTCTGGATGGAGGGTGCTGATTGATACCTTAAGCCACATGATCTATTTGGTGCTAGTCAACTGGTGAATAATGGAGGAAGAATGTGATTGATAAGAGTAGCAGAGTCAGAAGCAAGCAGGAGACAGAAGAGCTAAAGCTTAATCCATATCTTAGTTACGTTGTCAAAGTACTAAAGATGCCCATGTGCACAAATATATCTGTAATCGGGACATTGGAATTCTATAAAAGATTGTTTCAGCAAGTTTTGCTGTTTAAAACAAATTCAAGATAAGACTGCTGAATTTTTTATAAACTATCATTTTGTTGCTTATCTTATTACATTTGGTATTTTTTTTGATAAATGAATGGGATGCAACATAGCCTTATAAATGAACATTTTTATCATCCACTGAAATATTTCAAGCAATTAAGAAGGAGAGTGTACGTTTACTAAATTGTAACTTGGCTGATTTCTGAAATGTGGAATGATGAACAAGTGATTTAGTAAAACATCTAGATAGCAGGCCTATTTGGTAAATGGTATAAGCATATTACATCATTCAAAATGGTCATTTGGTAATATATCCGGGTAAAGTGCAGAATCGCCCACTGCTTGGTGCGTTTTTAAGAACTGCACATACACTGCATGTACACATTGATTTATTTTCACTTTAAAAAAAAATCTCAGAATTGCAAAAAAACGGCATTATGACTTTATCCCTTTATCCATGTACACATTGACCTATTTTCACTTAAAAAGTCAAAGAAAATTGACAAAAAAAAAAAAATCTTCTTACTCTTGTAAAAAGCGTCAAATAAGTGGGCGATTCTGCACTTTACCCATATATCCAACATCCATTTGGTTGATAGGCTTATTCTGGGGATAGAGACCATCCTAAAAAACTATGAGAGGTTTATTTTCTGATCAGGTCTTATTTGGGGGGAATGAGATAATTTTCTTCCATAAAAGCTAACTCAATAAAAGACACAGCCACTAGATAAAATTTGGCTGCTGGAGAAATGGAAACTTAACAGATTGTTCTCCAAATACAGTATTTATTGGAGCACATGGTTGTTTCCAATAATTGTACCTGTAATTATAAGACTTAACAAAAATTAAATTTCAGGATAACAAATTTTTTAAAGTTATCAATGAAAAAAACCTAATCACATGTAATGAAACTCTGACTTCTCCATAATTCATAACCTAATATAACATATAACAAAAATTTTAAAGGGCCATTCCCACTGGCTTTCTCTGAGCAAACGGAGTCAGTTCCGTATGTTGAATAGCTCCGCTGTGCCTGCAGTTCAGATTTTTCAACTAGCTGCCCTATGGGGAAAAACTGGTTTTGGAGATGGGTTGTGTCAGTTGTGTTCGTTAGCTCAGATAAACCCCTTAAAAGTTCAAGAAATTAATTTACATTAGTTAAAGAAATGTGAAAAGTAACACAATTTAAGTACAAAGCATAAAAGGTTGCAGACATGCAGGATATGATTAATATTCACTTATTTCAAGAAATATGCTGACATTCAATGTACAATTTTATTACATTTTTAAATGCGTAATTCTTTTATCTGAAAACTGTTAAAAAGTAACAAGATTTGAGCTTTCAGCAATAAATCAGCTTAAATCAAATTTACCTAAATGAGCTTTAACAAAAGACAAATCAAAATTTTTCTTATAGAATATGATAAGAACAACATATATTAGCTCCCTTCATCTTAACATTTTTAGAAACTGATTATTACCAAACACATTTGTTCCAACAGACTATAATACCTTCAGTAAATCTTGAAAACTCAACTCCTAAGTATAAGTTTCCCTCTTACACATTAATATACGTTGTAATTTTGCACCTCTTCTCAATTTCAAACCCAAGTGCCTTATGTATCCCCACTCTCATCATAGTTTCATGGTTGTATTAAATAATGAGATGTATAGAATACTCTTTAATGTTAATTTTTTTAATCAATAAAATAGAAAGTGGCATTTATTTGATTACAAACCATGTAGCAATATATTTTTCTTTTTTTTCCTTCTACATGCATTCCATGCATCGTTAAAGCACAACTTGAATCTTTTAACACAGAATTTTGCTACCCCTTCCCACCAAAAACAATACGACGAAAACTTCCGAGTTTTCCAATAAAGGTAAATAACAGCAACATATTTCTGTTCCAAGGAAATACATACAAATCGTTTAATAGCATAAATCTAGTTTGAACAAAATCAGTTTCACATCATTTATTACTCTGAAAATGAGAAAAAATGCGAACATGCGTTTTACTCAACGATTAAGTTAAAAACAAAGACCTCGAGATAAATAATACTTAAGTTCATAAATGCCAAACATTATCTAATTTAAACTAGATTTGAATCAGAAGTATATCAAAATACTACATTCAGTATGCAATTATTAAATAATAAAAGAATTCTTTTCAGAACCTAAAAAAGCAAACACTCAGATTCCCATGATTCTATCGAAAATTCCACATATTTTAACAGACTTTGTGAAATACATTTAGATATAATGTTTCAGTTTCGAAACTAGCTGGAGATAGAGCACTGATATCACCGAACGGTTTGAACACGCCGATTCCTGAACAAAATGTTTCCTGCCACTTTTAAGCAAAACTTACATTATATAGCCGACTTAGAGATTACTGGCATGAGAAAATCACTTTGTAAAAGTAATATTAAAATTTACTACAGTTTTTACACTGATTCTTGTTATGACACAATACACGCGGTATGAATAACGACAAGCGTGTTTCACTAGATTAAAGAGTCCCATTACGATTCTACTATAGGAAAAAAAAAGGAATATAAATATCCAGACACAAATTAATAATCTTTGATTTCACATTTAGCAACTTTTTCAAGTTCTTCAGAAACAAACCTTGTAGTAAGCGCCATTCTCGCCGCACACTTCCACAGCGAGGTCCTCCATCTTGCAGAATACAATTACGGGGGCTGTCTATGAGAAAACTCAAAGTTTCCGGTTTTGGGCCGGCGTAGAAAAATAAACCATCAAACTAAATATACTTCGTCTGATTTATACATTTTGCAGACCGTACATTCATGAAGCACTAAAAACAAACAGCATAGAAAATTTGTCGTAACTTTACAATGCTTGAAGAACTATGCTTTTGAAAACGAACGAGAGATGTGATGGTTAACTAGTAAGTTAGATTTATAACCGTGAACAAAATTGAATACTTTCCAGATAATAAATTTCGGCAAAAATATAAAACCAGCTCCTGGATATTTAAGCGTTAAAATAGCGTTTAATTCAATGATTATTGGGAATAAATTTTCTTTGTTATAGTATTAAAAAATTCTGAAAACAAAAATTGTATCAATTTTGTTTGACCTAATTTTTTTTTTAGTTGATATAGTAGAATGTTATAGAATAAGCTTGTCTAAATAAATAGCCTTATAATCACGCAGCAATAAAATTAGAAGACATTCTAACTTCTTTAGCATTGCAGATGTTTTAAACACTGACAATGGGGCAGTCATACAGGCTGTACGCTACATGTTTTTGAATTTGCAGCCTCATGGATAAAAAATGTTGCTCTCAAAAAGCAATATTTTATATCATCAGGCCTTTAGGACGCAATAGAAGAACTAAAAATGCACATAAATGATTTTATTTCTTTTAGAAATGAAGTAATTTCAGCCTTGGAAGCTCTGTGTGAGAATCTTTAAGTTTTATAAGCTAAGTATAAATCATGCATAGACATTCACTTTTCTCCTAAAGAAAAAAAAAAAAAAAAAAAAAAAAAAATATCGTTTCCCTTTCTTTTAAAGGTATAAAATAATGAAGGTGCACTTTTAGATACCATTTATTTATAATCACAGAATGTATTATATTACAGAGAACTGCAATACTAGCATAGTTCTAATTTCATATATCTGTATCCAAAGTGTTGTCAATTACAAGTTACTAAATATTAAATATTGCCATTTACAGATTATTAAATATTACAAAAGGTGACATTAAATGTGTTTCTGGCATTCTCTCGTTCAGTTTTAATGACTTTCTCTTATTCATTCAATACATTCTAATACACACTTCTACAGTAACTCGTATGTTTGCGATTTTACTCGGATAATAATTCTGCATTTATACATCTTTCCTTCAGTTGCTGTTTCCTGTGCTGTTTCTGAGGTATTTATATTCTAATCCACATACTATCCACATCAAATATTTGTTGTGTTGAGGACATTTCGACAACCACTCATTAACGTGACCAAGGGAGAAAAAGCTTAGCGGTTGTTTTCCATTATTGGGTAGTTGATGAATCACGCCACCCACGGCAGAATCAGATGCATCTGTAGTTAAGTTGATCCGCGCCGTGACTGGGGTGAGCGAAGGCCAACTATATATCTAGTTGGCGAAGGCCAACTATATATCTAGTTGGCTTTGTGTGAACTAATATTACAGAGTTTCACAGTGCGCTTTTGACATCAGTGAAAGCCTTCTGCGCATCTTCTGTCCAAATTAAAGGTTTTTTGCTGTTTTTCTTCATTCCTTTAAGCAAGATTGTCAGGGGGTGTTGTAGTTTGGTGCAGTTTGGAATGAAACGATGGTAAAAGTTCACCATGTCCAAAAATCTGCGTAAGTTTGTGAAGGATTCTGGTTTAGGATATTCTTTAATTGTATCAACTTTCGATGAAACAGGTTTGATTCCTTCAGTTGATATTTCCCATCCTAAAAATTCAACTTTGATGAGACAAAATTTGCATTTTACAATGTTTATGCTCAGGCCATAGTTATTGAGTCTTTGGATGATTAATTCAAGATGTTTTTTGTGTGTTTCCGTGTTTGGAGAGGGGATGAGAATGCCGTCGAGATAGCAAAATACAAAATCTAGGCGGCTAAGCATTGTGTTCATAAACCTTTGGAAGGTTTGTGCAGCGCTGAGTAAGCCAAATGTCATATAAGGAAATTCAAAAAGTCCAAAAGGTGTCATGATGGAGGTCTTCGGAATATCAACTTCATGAACAGGAATCTGTTGGTAGGCTCTTATCAACTCTGTGGTTGAAAAATTGTTTTCCATGCAAAATATGAGTACAATCGATTAGAAATGGCAGTGGGGAACGGTCTGGTACAGTATTTGCATTAAAGACACGGTAATCTCCACATGATCTCCAGTCACTGAATTTTTTTTTAAGTGAGGTGTAATGGACTTGACCAGCTGCTTTTGGATAGAATGGAGAGACCTTGCAGCATATAATCGAATTCCTTTTTCGCAGCAATCAACTTTCCTTGAGAACGTTTTCTGACTTTCAAGGATACGGGGTTAACTTTGGTAGCGATGTAATGTTGCATAATTAATTAATTAAAATTTGATTGATAATTATTAGATAATTAATTTTTATTTATTGAAATAATTAAAGATTGAAGTAATTAAATAATTAAAATTAAATAAAATGTAAAGAGGTAAATTGAAATTTAATAGGCGATTTTTAATATAATTTTATTGTTAAAATAAACTTTTTGAGATAAAATTTCTACTGAAATTGTTATTAAATTACATAAAAAAAGTGCCGCTGCCTTCTTATTTAGCGCTCCGGCTAGAATTATGATTTAACAAAAACTAAGAAGCACCGGAGCAATTTAAGCTCTGATCGTAGGGGAGGGGGAAGTTCTTTTATTATCACAAAAATTAAATATTCTTAAAGTATAGCTGATGAAAATTCCAGGGCGGAACAGAATGGGATATGAGTAGGTGGAAACAAAAAATGAGGGGAATCTTGGTGAGAGAGAACGTTCTCTTTAACCACGGCTCTCTGCTGATATAATTATAGCCATCAAGCAGATGTGTGTCAGGGGTAAAATAAGTTCTGAATCTGACTCCTAAGGATGAATGTAAAGTTGCTGGTTACGCTTCACCCCAACCCCATTAGTGGAAACTGTGGGCAGATGATCTATAGGACGTGCTTGAGCAGTTTATCTCAATATTTCACGCTTATTGTACTCGCTGTTCATTTAACGCACATTTAAGAACACAAATTTTCCATCCTGGGAGGATAACTAACCATCGATAACAATACACCAGATACGATGGCATGGCTAGAAATTTACGCGATCCTAAACAAACTCCCCCAAATTTATTGCCTTCTTAAAGGGAAAGGTTTCCGCGTGTGAGTGAGGGAACTTTACTTGAACGTTTCATGTTCTCATGAGTTTGTACTCTGAATAATATGCTTTGTACTAAACCGTGGATCTAATGGTAAAATTTTAGGTCCCTTGCGAACTGCGATTTTTGCCTACGGATCCGATTTTCATTTTTTTTATTTGCGCTAACGCGCACAAGCAAAACACAATGAAACTGTATCCTACGCGTCCAAATATCGAACACCGGTACCCTATCAGAAAATGACAAGATGGCGTTTTTTTTTCTCTTTCTCTCTGTGTGTCGTGTTATTCCATCCTAGGTTTTCTTCTCCCCCCCCATCTTGGAAAAAACTGGAAAAAATTGGTTACGATCTCTTTTTGAATGGGGAGATGCCATTTTGAGAAAAAGCTGACGACCCTATCTTGGAGAATGAACATGACCGCTCTACACACCCTTTCTTTTCTCTCTCTCTCTCTTTTGAATTGGGAAGCCATTTTGGGAAAAAGCAGACGACCCTATCTTGGAGAATGGAAATGAACGCCTCTCCCTCTCTCTTTGAAATGGGAAGCCATTTTGGGACCCTCTATTCTTGGGGAGGGAGAAAACTGAAGTCTGCATTTCGCTGTCTCTGAATGCGGAAAGCCCTTTTGGGAAAAGCGGACCCTCTTCTTCTGATCTTGGAGAACTGGAAATGAACGCTCTACACGATCTCTCTTTGAATTCAGAAGGTATTTTGGGACCTTCTAATGTTGGAAAACTGAAATGAACGCTCTACACCTTCTCTCTCTCTCTCTCTCTCTGAAATGGGTAGCCATTTGAAAACTCCCTAACTTTGGAAAAAAACAGAAATGAACGCTCTACACCATCTCTCTTTGAAAATGGGGGGGGTGTCATTTTGAGACCTCCCTCCCCTAAACTTGGAAAAAAAACTGAAATGAACGCTCTACACTTTCTCTCTTTGGACATGGGTAGCCCTTTGGGGACCCTCTCCTCTTGGTAGGAAAAAAAAAAGAACTGAAGTGAAGGCTCTACACAATCTCTCTTGGAATGGGATCCATATTTCGGGAAACGTGGATCACCTCATGCTGGAAAACTGAAGTGAACCACCAAGATTGGACTCTATATAATATTTTTTTTAAAATTGACATCATGACCCTCCTCCCAATTTGTTATTAAAAAAATTGTTTTTTTTGTTTTGGTTTTTATCCCATTTCCGATGTGATTTCAGAAATGCAATTCCATAACAGTTCAATTTCATTCGAGGTTAAATGATCTAAACAGTCTTTGACCCACCCATCCGTATGATTATTTTCTTCTCCTTCCTGTTGCACCAAATTTTGTAAGTCCATATAATCATTCCATACGGGAAGGGCTGGATCCTCACAAGGCTGTCTTGAAACACTTGGAGTCTCTTTGGGATGAGTGGAGGGATCTAGGATGTCTGGACCCGGCTGCGATTCTACCTCCATGATTTCTGGACCCGTTGGAACTTGTTTACCCGGCTGAAATTCTACCTCCATGATTTCTGGACCCGTTGGAACTTGTGAACCCGGCTGTGATTCTGCCTCCATGATTTCTGGACCTGTTGGAACTTGTGGACCCGGCTGACATTCTACCTCTACGATGTCGGGACTTTTTGAAGCTTGTGGACCCGTCTGACATTCTACCTCTACGATGTCGGGACAGGTTGGAGGAGAAGAAGAAGATACTGGAAGAGGTTCTGTCTGTGAGGAGTCCGAAAGAGGTTGCCTGTTTGAACAAGTCGGGGAAGAAGAAGAAGAAGAAGAAGCTTCTGGATTCTGAAGCGGATCTTGCACGCCAGGTAGGTTCCGGTAAGTCGACCGTTTTTTAAGAGGTAATTTTTTTTCTTCCTCCTCATCTTCAATTGTGATGACTTCAATTTCATTCCGTTGCCGGGTCGATTTTGTTTCGGGCCATGACGACGGTTTGGTCCAGCTCCTCTTATCATCTAAGGAAGGGATGGGTAAAGGTGGCGGAGGGTTTTCTTCTTCTTTTTCTTGAAACATCATCGGCGATTGGAAAGAAATCTCCTCTTT